CACAAAAGCGTGAGTTTCACTTGCAAAAATGTTAAAATTTGAAAAATGAGATTGTATGCAATCTCTTTCTTTATTTCACCCTTATTCTTTTATATGGGTGGAAGTCATTTCTATTACATAGTTTCAACATTTGTTTTTTCAGTGTCAATTTTGCATATGGAAGAAATGTTTTCTTTATAAAAGATCTTTATCAGAATAGCAACATCTTATTAGTTGAAAGTTTCTTCGTAGTAGGACTGCATAAGAACTTAAATTTTGTATCCTTTTTTTTTAACTATAAGACATCACACAACCCACACTACCGTCGTCTGAAAGTGCATCTTATTTGATTTAATTTTGAAACTGGAACGACGCGTATCGCACAAACTGATTTAATTGTGCATCCTTTTTGAACACAATGTATTTTCGCTCCGTGATTTAATAAGTACATTAATGACATTTAGATGTAACTTCAGTGAACCTGGGAATTATCAGTGCTCTCTGAAACTTTACTTTTTTCCTAATAATTTCGTGTGACAATTGTTATACCAGCTTTAGCGAAGCTCATGGTGTAAATTTTGCTACATTTGAAATCATATGATATAGAGAACATATGAATCTTAAAGAATTTTTTTAATCGTGCTAACTTTAACGAAGCTTTTGACACAAGATACTGTTCGAAGATCAAAGGTAGGCAAATATTGTCCATTAATTTTGCCTCAAATGTAAATTCTGCATAAACTCATAAATAACTGTTATTTTTTGTTTATATAAAACATAAATTATACTCAAACTTATTACTAATTCTTGTGTTTTGATAATAACCAAGTCACAGTCTTACATAACCGAGCTTTCCTAGGTTCATAAACTCCCTGCGTTCTGTTGCAAATATTATTCAGAATGAAATATATTGGATAGAACAAACAACTATGGATTCTCTTAGGTAATCCGAGTTTAATAACTTCTGCAGAGAGACTAAACAAATATCAGACTCTCTCTGAACTTTATTAAATGTCAGCTTCCTAAGCGAATTCATAGCGAAGTTGAGAAATCAGAGACGGCGGAATACTACTGTTTCATATGAATTTTCGTATTTAATTCATTACTAAAATAATAATCTAAACATTATCTGAGTCAGCACTTCCTCTTACTTAGTCGTGTAATTAACTATATTGCAGAGTTTGTTTTGTTTGTTATTTCAGTTTGAATTTACAAGCCGGTACTTAATTTCGGCTTCAAACTGAAATGTTTAATAATTAACAGTTCTGAGAAATCCGCTTACAAGATGCAATAAGCAAAGTGTTCAAGAAGCAGAATTTCCAACCTACTGAAATAGAAAAGTGTGTGATACAAAATATAAAATATGCAATAAAATTACTAACAGATTTATTCAACTTAATTGCAACCATTTGAAAACAGACCTTTAAATTAAGCACATCCCCTCTTCAAGGATAGGTTTTGCACCATTTTGCATCACTCTGCAGCATATTACGCCACTCTTTTCCTACAGTTTCTGAGCACTGCGAAATATTTTCCCCAATCGCTGCTCAGGATTAAAACAATGACTTTTCGAGCTAAATAAATACGACTGCAGTTAGTACGCATCACGTTTTTGCCTGCTTGCTCTGCCTGGAAAAGTCACATCACTTCGCTAAGCGTCTTTTTCTAGCATATAAAATGTAAACTGCGTATATAGAAATTGTGGGGTGCGTTTAGCATCTCTAATGCTGCATTAATTTAAGGAAAAATGTATCCCTGAACAATTTTTCCTGTTCAGAATAAAAATAATGTTTTAGCTACCACGCCAGCTGTGATTTTTCCTTCAATCATATTTAAGCAGCAGTTTTCTGGATAATAACTAAAAAGTGGATTGGTTTCATCTTCTAATCAGCTCTCTGCAAATTCTATCAACGTACCACGACTGCGAGCCTCTAAAATATCACACACACACCTATATAAATGTATACGTAAAATATAAAATATGAAGGAAATTACTGAACTTAATTGTAACCAACTGGAAACAGATCTTTAATTTCATAGACTTTAATTAAACACATCCCCGCTTCAAGGATACTCTTTGCATCCTTTTGCGTCACTCCGCAGCATGTTACTTCATTCTTTCTATGCAATTTCTCTGCACTGCAAAATATTTAGCCTAACAGCGGCTCAAGATTAAAACAAAGACTTTGCGGCTTATAAATACGACCGCAATTAGTAAGCATCACCTTTTGAATAAACCACGTCTCTTGCTTCGCCTTCATTCTCCTTTGTTTAACAAAAATGTGAGTGCGTATTTAAAAATTTTGGGGAGCGGGCTGTCCTCATTCCGTTATGCTACTTAATACGATGTTTGAATATAATATTGCGATTATCTAAGGAATTTATGGTTCTTTTAAGAGTTCAAGACATCTACTATACTATCTGCATGCGTGTCACATCTATTACCGATTTGACTATGATAAATATGCCCACTGGTTTCGGCTAAACTCTTTCCTGCTATGCTCATAATTATGAACATTAATAAATGGAAAGACTACCTCAAATGCACCATTTTTCATAACTACATTAAATATAAAAATCAACTTTTTAAGCAAGTCAGAGGTATCCCAATGGGTGCACATTCTAGTACTTCCGTCTGTAATATATTTTTTATTCATCAAAGAATTTACCTTACAAAAAATTTTACAAGATTTAAATTACTATGCGCACACACATACAGATATATAGATGATCTTATTATATTTAATAATTTTAATAAGATTGAAAACTCAGAAATTTATCCGAAATGCCTCACTCTTAATAAAACTAATCATTCATAAAATATCATCGACTATCTTGATCTTCAAATAATTAACTACCAAATATTCTACTGGTTGACAAAACGCGATAGATATATATATCCATCGAAGAACTATTTGATTTGGTTTAGAATAAGCCTTAATTTAAATAACCATTTCTAATAATGGTAATTTAAATTAACTAATATCAAAATAATCAAAACTTTCTGAACCTTTTCTATGCAAAATTACGTCTGATTTCCCATAATTAAAAAACCAAAGTACAATCTAAATATATGTACCACTCAAGTCTTAAGTAAAAATTTTCACAATCTTTCTTTTGTTACGAAAGAGAAAATGAAATGAAACTGCGGTGATAACAGATGAATTATTGGCATCCGTTTGACAAACTGAGAGAAAAAGGATATATCAGTCTTTAATGCAACATTCAAAGTAACGGTATATCGCTTATTAGTGCAACAAGAGTAAACCAATATTTGTATTCTAAGCTTACTTGAATTATACATTCGCATAAAGATAACAAAAAAAAAAAAAAAAAATGCTTCAAACGCTTCAAAACTATGTATTAAAGCTCAGGCCTTAGTATTACAGAAATAAAATCCACAAAAGGGGGGCACCAGAAATTAGTGCACTGGTACACGTAGGCAGATATTAAATTTTGGCTCAATACACCTGTAACAGAAATAGAGAAAAACTTATTAATTTATTTTTCAATGTGAACTCCTTGCATCTCAATATTTTTTCACATCCTTTAATAAATAACCCCGATGTAAAGTTCTGTCCTTGAAATTTTCAATAATAATAATAATAATAATAATAATAATAATAATGTTTATGTCAACATTGTCATTAAATATCTTTACAGGAAGATCAGATTCCAGTTTGGAAAATAAATAGATATAGATAAAATAGATATCTGTGCTCTAAGGGGTGACCTAGCAGGGCCGTTCCTAGCGGGGGTCAGTGCGTAAAAGTACGCGGGCGGCCAAAATCAGGGGCAGCCGGACTCTCGCGACTCCACGTCTAAATATTTTAAATTCATGGTAAGAACTTGTCATATGTATGTACTTTTTATACAATTTGTCATATGTAAGTTCTTAGTGAGTATGAAATAAAAATTTTATTAATCATTGAGCACTTTTTTTTTTAATTTGGGGGGCGGGAATTTTAGGAAAGTAAGCGGGCAGCCAATGGCCAAGAGCTGCCCTGTGGCTTAGCTCCTTAAGCCCATACTGCTGCTCCTAAATTGCTGAAATAAGTCACGCTATTTACCTGGCAGAAATTTTGTTATTATAGATAGATCTAATTCTGGTGTCACCTTCTTGACTTTTAATGTCTTCGATTTAATATATCCTCCTAAACATGATTTATCTTCTGCATATCCTTCGCCCATATTTTACCCATTCTTCCAAGTTAGAACAGGGAGAAGACGAATCAGCATTCACATGATCCAAACTTTGTTTTACTTCTTTGCGATTAAGCCCTTTTTTAGCCAAAAAATTAATCACAGAACGGTATTCAGTTTTAAAGATTTCAGAACAAACTAGCACATTATTTCATTTTGTAAACAGTCAAAAAGGAATGCATATAATTTCTCCAATGAAACTCTGAAATTTATCCATATAGAATTGCCACTACGTATATATAAAAAGAATAAATTGCAAATAATTTTTATATGCGAGGCCAGAAATTCTTGGATCTAAACCTATGTATTACTCATATTTTTACTGCTACTATTATGTAAATTTTTTCGCTAGCTCGACAACTGGCTTTTCTTAATGTCATATGAAGAGCTTCAGTGCTATCTCATTTATTATTAATGTCGGCTGCATTGACAGCTCATTTGTTTCAATCAAAACATTCTGGATGATAAAAGATGTCAAAATGTCGATCATTGACAGAAGTTGGAAGAACTTCGTGCCCAAAAAGTGGAATGACGCAACTTTTCATTAGATAAAATGAATCACTAAGAATGCCGTAATTGTTTATAAATGTCCGTATGTCCTCAAATGCCTTTAAGATAACGGAAAGAAACGAAATCATATTTCGAACGATGATAATGCCAGTACCGAAATATATGAAATTAAACTTAAGAATTATTATCTGTTTTTCATGATCGTGGAACTGAAATATAGCATATATAACAGAAATTTTACTATAAATTATTCCTAATCATTGAAATTAAATATAGAATTTACATGAACATGAAACCTTTCCACTTACCAGGAGTAGCAATAAAACTGTATAACGTAGTAGCAGACGATCCATTTTCAGGAACACGTGGGGGGAAACTGTCCCCCCGTGCACAACTTCCGTACTAACATATCGCCGCTTTGTCGAACACAAGAAAAGATCCACCTCTTAAATTTCGGAAAACAAGATATAGCGATAGTACATGTGTTCTGATCAAGTCAGCAGAAAAGAAAAGTACCGTCGGCAAGGCGAAAAGCAACACGTGGAAAAACGCAACTGAAACAGATAGATGTAAACAAAACATACGTTTGCGGGCACCGGAGCAACTACAACTGCTTCGTTCGATGTGCTAACTCGGTGTGAGGGGCCGTGGTTTCGTCCAAACTTTACGTACTGTTAAGAACGACAGCTATTGGCTGGTTATGGGGGTCGGTTTTTGGCGCTCATTCTGCAAAACGGAAAAGAGAAATCTTACAAATTTTCTGCTTCATGCGACGGAGTTCGGTACAGTTTTGGTTTCGATATTAAGTTTTAAACGCTTGTACATTAGAAGTTCGATTACCAGCATCGCTTTTTCTTTTTGAGGATAAATATATTTAAGTTTGCTGATAATTATGTCTGTTTAGGTTTTTTTCCCTGCAAGTTTAAACAGTATATATATATATATATATATATTCCTTCAGTACTGAACACAACTTTTAAGAAACTTGTATTACACGAATTTCATTGAACGGGTACAGCATCCAAGTAAACTAATAATGTTCAATATATACTATGCATACTATATGCATCGATAAACAATAATGTAATTATATACAAAAAAGAAATTACGTACTGTATGCAAATTTATTGCATTTTGTTCATATCGTCAGTCAATGCTTAACCACAACAAATGTTCTTTTTCTAAGTATAGATTATATAAAGTAAAATTTCAAATCAAATGATTAAAAGAATTTACCTCTAAAATTGGACTTTCCTGGAAAACAAAAATCGCTTATTGAATTTAGCGTTTCATTGGGCCACTTGTCACTGGGCGTTACTTTGTACGGGGCCTAATTACTTTAACCACTTCAGCATCACATGAAACTCAAATATTTGCTTCTTTTTTTTCTTACCACCTAAAATGAACAAAGACGAGCCCCTAAACATACGCATTTAAATGAGAAGTAGTTCCATTGCAATACGAGCTGATGGGGAGACGGAAGTGCATTCCTGTTTTTTTAAGTGAGCCTACCCCTGATGCAAAACCGCTGTAGACAAAGCGTGATCAGTTCTATGAATCAACTATTTCAGTTTTCGCTGCATTCTGGGGTTTGGGGCCCTGACGAGTGTGTGACGTCAAGAATAAATGTGGACGTGTTAACACGTTCATAAAGTGTTGCGATCGCTGGCAGTACTCTAATAGGTCTCTAGTTGAATGCGATATCTCCGTTTTTTCCCGGTTTCTTGATCACAATTGCATGTTTTCATGAATTAGAAAAATGTTAACACGAAGACATGCGTTAAAAATGTTTGTAATAAGAATAATTCTTTTCTTTGAGAGTACTTTGAGAGAGTTTTTTGTTAGCGATTTAATCATTGTCTGAAGCATTTTTTGGGATTTAGATTATTAATAAGATTTTGAATTTCTCTCGCGGGAGTGGGCTGATTAAGAATTGTACCGTTATTTCTGAGAAAGTTGTCCCCATGTTCAATGACGTTAACGTCGTTTCTGTTGTAGAAATCATTATTTGGAGCTGGCTCTCATAATTATCAGCGAATGATTTGCTACTTTTTCAGGATGATAAATTTTGATGTTATTGTCAATGATAAGTCGAATTTGGATAAGCTTGTTTTTGATGACTCTGGCGATTTTCCAGACCGAATGATCAGTATGTAAAAAGCTGTCTCTAAAATTCTTCTGACACTTATCTTAAATAATTAAGAAGTTTCTTTAATATTATGTTAGCCTTGGGAGATTTTTCTTACTCTATTTTTATTCCTTATTTGCAGGAGGAAGTGCAGAGAAAGTGCGAATTAATTACTTTTTTGGACGTATTTGGGGGCTTTTTAAGGCATTCTTTATTGTTCCATTAAGCGACATGATGGATCGTTGGTCTCGTTACTATTAGAAATGTTGATATTTGCAGAACAGTTATCTCAAAGAATATGTTTGTACTCTTCCCAGTTTACTTTACGTGGAATTGGCGTCAAAGCATGCCACAAACCGTGCGGGATAAAACGAATTGTAGCTGATCAGATTGTAAATCACTATCTACGTAAAGATAAGGAGCTTGTTTTAATTTGCTGGTAATAATAATGTGGGGAAAGGCAACGACCATAGTTGATAACACACATTTATTACTATTTACAAATATAGATTATATTAGGATTACAATTAATGAAAATGGTATACGAGCGATCGAGCGACGTCTGCTCCGCTCGCCAGCTAATCCTCGTCTTCTTCCGAAGGCGGGAAACACATGCTGACGCAATGCATACGTCACACAGTAGGGGATTAGGGAATATCATGACATAACATTTCCCACAATAATATCTAAAATATCAGGATGATATCGTACGCAGTGTGGTAGTACGTCGGTTCCGACAAGACATAAATATTAAATTGTTAATTGTTTGATAATTGTAGAGGATAATTCCATTTGAGTTATTTAATCTAGAATTCCGTAATGGATGCTTGCAGGTTAGATCACCTGCGATAACAGTAAGATGTCCTAGGTTGAATATTGCGGCTAGATTCTGAGTAATTAGTGGATTATTAGGCGGGTTATACACTGGAACTACAGAGTAAATATTCTGAGTTTCTGCTATAAAAAGGGCATGCACTAGCTTCAATACAATGAAGTGATGAAAGAGCATAGCTGATGGTTTTTAAGCTTCTCTTGATTAAAAAGGCGGTGTCTCCATCTCGATTATGTGTGCGATCTAATTACTGTGTATTGATTATGTGTGCGATAGAATCAACTATGAACATCATAATTAGCGATATAAAAAAAGAGTCGTGCGTTTCATTAAGCATACAAATATCGAAATCACTTTTAAAAATATATTGTTTTGAGATGAAGAACTGACTTTTAACACTGTTGCAATTAAAAAATGCAAATTTGCATACTTAATATGCTATCTATTCTTTTGGTTCCTTAAATTCGGGTAATTAACATGGGACAGCCGATTTGAGTACTTCCATGGCTGTAAACGCAGTGAGTTCAGTTTTTTTTTTTTTTTTTCTTTTTTTAAGCAGCTTCTGCATATAATTGGCTGTTAGAAGCGGTATCAAACTTGGTGTTTTCGTTATTTTTCATAGAAGTTTCTTTATTTTTTATGATGTTATGAGTGATTTTGATGATTTCCTTTTGCTTTTGAAAATTTTTATCAGTTTTATTCCCTTGTCTTTTGGGGCAAATCTTGCTGCTTGCAAAGTGGACACCTCTAAGGGGTACATTTTGATTAAATAGATTTATTATCTTTGATAGGATATGCGTATGATTTGTGTTCGGATATGCAACGAACACATCTAGGAGTACTATGACATGCTCGCTGGGAATGATATTACTGTGGACAGTTGATACATTGCACCGGCCCCAGTCTTGATTTGTAAGAATTAATCTTAACACACATGTCAAATATTCTTTTAACTTTTAAAATATTTTATCCTTTATTGGTACAAGATGCTTCAGCCTAGTAGACAAAAATATCTATCTTTTATCTTGTCTGCAGCAATGTCATTTGATAAAGTTTTAGTACGATTCTAGTGCATTTGTCTGAGAGGAGAAGGAAATTCTGAAATGGAATATTTTGGACATTTCGATAATCTTCTACACAGTAAAGTTTAAGTTTGTTTTCCAATCGATTTTGCTATCAATTTTATCCACACCTATGTTTTCTTTAATCTCCTTGCTGAGTTGTCTCCATTTATATTTTTTGGGTTATAAATATCAGGGGTATTTTCACAGACTATTTAGTGGGTTTTTAAAAATTTGTATTGTCAGTAAATTTACAAAAGTAAACTTGAGATAAAGTTCATTGGCAAGATTAGGTAGGAGAATTTTGATTATCACTGAAGAGGTATGCCGTGAAGGGTCGTAGGTGTCTGTTTTCGTTCAGAATTTCGCAATGAAATAGGCTGAAGTGATTTATGTGCCCGCAATCTTTTGTACCCTTAAAAAAAATCTTTCATTTGATTTCTGCAGAAACTTATCCATAAGATAAATTTTCAGGTCTTCATGAAGTAATTTATTTATTTTAAAGTAGTGTGCGTTTGTGATTATGCGGAGATATCTGCTTTGTACTACTTGGAGTTTATTGTGCCATAGAGTGGCACCAGCTCAAGCAGATGAGACATATCTCATGATTGGCCTTATTGTCGAAAGATAAATCAGTCTCTTTTTCATGAGGTCCAATCTGGAATATTTCCTAATAATTCGGAAAAGACACTTCATTACTTTCAGTACTTTGTTTCTGACATGATCAATATAATGGGTCCACGTTAGTTTGTGATTTAGGATTATACTTAAATACTTCGCTTAAGAAACCGCCGGAACAGGCTCATTAAAAAAAGCGAGCTTTTTTTGATGTTGACATTACGTTTTCTCCTTTGTGAGATCAGTAGCTGAAATTTTTGTTTATTAATTAGCACTTTCTAGTTTCACACCATTCCTGTATGAATGGGATACTGTTCTGAATTTCTTGATATCTGCATGGTTAATATTTGCAGACTTTACTGCCAAGGCAATATCGTTTACATAACATTCTAAAATCGAGCTGTGCTGAGGCAAATCAGCGTCTTAAAAACAAAGAAAAAGGCAGGCCAAAGGGCGAAGCCTTATGCAATTCCACTTTGCATAATTATTTCAGTAGAGTAGGAATTTTCCATCGAAATTTTGAAGGTCCTGATTGTAATAAAAGGGAGAATAACTAAATGTAATTCCCTCTCGAAGTTAAAATCAGTCAATTTGGAGAAAAGTCTCTCATGCCGACGCGGTCGAAAACTTTTGCCACATCTAGCATGAGGATAGAACATATAAACCGCATTTTAGAGCCGCTCTAATACTGTTTCGGAGAGCCCAAACTGTTTCGGGGAGCAACAAGTTTAGGAAAGACTTTATTCTATTCGGTAAGATTCTTTCGTAAACTTTACCAAGTCCTATTAGAAAGTTAATTGGCTTGTAACCAACTGGCTGACAATGATTTTTTTCCCGGTTTCGGATTAGTATCACTTTTGCAGTGCTTAATGCTTTGGAAAGTAGGATAAGGAAATGCATGCGTTCATGATATCAATGATTTTGCATACAGTATTTCTAGGGATATTCTTAATTGCAGTGTTCGCAATTCGATCAATTTCAGGCATT